ATCAACCGAGTCGAATGCGCCTCGGAAATCCAGAAATACTAGAATTGTGGGTCGCTTTTACGTATGGCGTTGTTCTAGCACCTGACGCAGTGTGAAGATTTGGTCAAGACAACCCCTACCAGGCCGGAATCCCGCTTGCTGCTCTCGAGTCAGTATCGAGACCCATGCTACCGAGATTCGAACCTTTGGAGAATGTAGTTGGGCAATAGATGTGCATTCTTGCAGTGTTCTGGTTTTCTTGACTATAGGCAACACACCCAGTTTGTTGTTTTTCGTTTCGTGGGGTAAATCAGACAACAAGGCTTGGAATCGGGACCGGGAAAAGTCTTATCCTAATACACGATTACGCGTATGAGTAGGTGCTATTCACACAATTTGTGAGAACGGAAATCCGAATAAGTGAGAGTTGAGGAAACATGCGTTTATCCGCTTCGGAATGGGATAACCGAAAACGATTTTGTCGGGGCACGTGTCCAAACTGTTACTATACTATACAGTCGACCCAATTCCATTGACAAATTGCCTGAGAACGGATGGACCAAGAATACCCAAAACGATCTGAAATATGTTCTTTCGGAGACGAGTAGTGTTTCGGTTTGGATTCCATCGAATTTTACGCAGCGAACAATCACAGATATATCAGCCGAACGCACAGATGACGGCGTACAGCGGCGGCTAACCCGAAACGGTGACTCCAGTTTGACAACAAGTTATCGAGTGCAGACAACGTACAGAAGCTAAGCGGTTTTCATCTGAGAACAACTGGCACATGGCTGAAAAATCCGAAGTTGACAAGTCGCTCGTACAAGTGGGGTTGGAAGGCAAACAAAGCGCCGCCCAGTGCGCCCAAACACAAGACATCCTCAAACTAATTTTAGTGGTCAGTATTTAACCCAAGCCAATGTTCGCCAACAACAAGCCTGGATGAATCGAAATGTTCCAACTCATCTGGTCATCTAGTTTAAATTGTCGAAAAATTCTGAGCTGTACTAAATTCTCGTTCATTAAAACCGTCAACTTAAAAAGTGCTATAGAAGGAGACTCGTTTTCTATAGAGGTAGCTCATGTAGCGTAGATGGGGGCTGAGCTGGGCAATTTGATTACAAACGTTTCATCATCAATCGCGGTGACATCATCAGTGGCTTGTTGCGGAGCGTAGTGGTGCGCAGCGATGGGTTGGTAGTTGCACTTTGAGTAGTGTTGCGTGTGTGATGACCGGAATGCAGATAACCGGAAATGACCTTCAATCATGATTAGTTATTTGGTTGGGCGGTTCCATTGGTTCCTCTGTTATCCTGTGTTCGGACTGATCGATAACCACGTGACTTTTCAGTTTGCCCCCCTGCCTTCGTACTTTGGTTGATGCTGGAGTAACCGTTGACCTTGACTCCTCTGGGTTCCGCCATGTGAACTTTATTGATCTGACACCAAGCAGTTCCTTGTTTCTTCTTTTATGAAGTCCATATTCGGTTGTCCCCGAGTATTCCGGTTGAAATGTTGGCCCTCTGTGTTGCGCAAATTAAATCCCGCTCAGTGCATCGGTTGATCGAGTCCGCCCTGGAATGCCATCCTTCCAGAAGTTCCCTCCTGTGTCTCCGTGTGTCTCCATGTGTGTCACGTGATGATGTGCGGTGGTGTCCAGTGGAAAATTCCTACACTGAATCACAAAGTCCCATCAAATGTCACAAGGTTGTACATGGGCGATGTCCTCGGAGGAAAACTCGCGGCCCAAAAAACAGCGAATCATTAGTTTGACACAGCTAAAAAGGGTAAAGAAAAAAGTCGTGCAATGCAAATCGACTGGTACATACATATGGTACATACATACATACGACATACATACGGGCTGATAAAAGCTGTAAAGATCGGAAGGTTCGCAGTACTGTCCAAGAAGGTGGACATAACACCTGGTGCACTCAATTTTCTATGGGGGTGAAAAGTTAGTACAGCCACACTTGGGCTAACTGCACCAAGCCAACTGCAATTGGCTTGGTGTGACGTTCACTGATGAAGCAATGATTAATACACAAACAATTTGCTTCCTGTGGCATGTCTGAAACCCACGAGCTATTGGGTGTGAAGAGGTCACAGAGCAGCTTCAGCAGAGTAGTTATCTGGAGCTAAGGAACAAGTGTACAATCAAGTGTGTTCGGGAACGTAAAACACATGCGTCTGACTTCACTCCTCAGACGAAAGAGATCTTTGCTTGGCTGATAGGTATCAATGCACTCGTCTTATTCCATGGTGAATCCATCCAGATGTAAGGCGCCTTGCACTGATCACCAAATGTGCGTCTCCCTGTGACTGTCCAATTATTCGCATACGCATGCATTGCATTTCGTGTAACATCGCCAACAAGGAAGAATGCCACTTTAGAGCATACTTCAGTTAGCTTCCTAGAAAAACGGAAACTGAATTTTCGAAGAGGATAGTCACAATCAGAACTGGATAGTCTGTGGAGTTAGTATTCAGTTCCGTGTACCGGAACGCAACACCTACATAATATTACTCATTACTTTTTCAAGCCGCAGCAAATCAGTCGAACGATGTCATCGTCTGTCAAACAACGACTGAAAGTTGAAAACAAACGGTACGTAGATTTGGTAGTTTACAGTAATATCAGTATTTTTCTCAGCTCCGTTCTCGGTCTGAGCCTCCCAAGCTAGCGTTCACGTCAAAACAACCACCAAAGGTGCACAAGGTATAATAATGCCGAAAACCGAGTCAAGAAGACTTGTGCAGCGCGTCCTGTATATAGCGTAAGCGGCAACAGCCCTCTGGAAATTCCGACGCTTTCTGGGTGCGCTATTGAAAACTGGCATTCGGCCAGTACTGGATCATGATTGGCTGTTGGGTCCAGACTTTCGACCAATCAGAGTTTGCCTTGATGCCGGACCGGCAAGTGGTTCGAACTTTCGCAACCATTGCTCACACCCTCAAACGCTGCGGCTAAGGGTCATAAATTCTGAAAATCTGACCGATGACTCACCGATGCCAAGGTCAGTTTTTTTCAGTGTTGCTCTCTTATAAAGCCAAATCTCATCTTACAGCTTCCGATCAATTTGCTTTAGTGTTAGTGTAACTCAAAGGTCACGCTTCCTTCTAAAAATCCGGGGTGGGCAACCGTAGTCAGCAAAAACGCAACGGACAGTTGCAACATGTGAGTTGAAGCACTACACAACTAGAAGCAGATTGATTGCCGAAATTCTGGTCATCGCATGACCCACAAGTAGGTCACAGGAGGGGCACAAATGTTACCCGAATTCCCTTGTGACCAACATGTGCAGCTCTTCAGGCGTTACCCCTCGTTTGACATTTAGGAAATGTTCGTGGAACTGAATGCCAACATATCTTCTCCAGAGCACCAACCGAATCACTGACATTCCATCACCCTTGCGCCAAAAAACAGAGCCCGCAATCAAACAATCTCGCATAGACAACATGTGCTCGGAATAATACACGGATCCAGCCTGTCCACCCGTAGAAGCGTAGGAGCGCGTGGACAATCGAACGTGGTACCAAAATCTAAAGAATGGTTCATTTGGGTTCTACAGGTTTGACGGCAGATATTACTGATGAGGCATGCGAGTAGAATATGGTCTTATCGAAGCGCCGTCCCGCGTAGGTGAGGTTTGTCATGGAACTGAGCAGCACATTCACATTCTGTTTGCAGCTCATTACTTTCAAAGCATCTGGAAAAGCAGGAGTAGAGAACTAACCCTGAGGTGAACAATACTCACCGGAAGGGGAGCGGTGTTTCTGAATGGCACTCAACTTCCATAGGTAAGTATACCCAACAACCGCCACTCCATTCAGTTCCGGTCTGTAATTAAAGTGGTCTTCCCTATCCTTTATTTCAAGCGGGACAGACTGGACCTTATGAGTAGTACATTACAACACTAAACCAACGTTCATAACGTGACACAAAGACTGGGGATGTCTAGGTGCTTTATCACAAGTGGATCCCATCGAAAATGGGGTCACTCCCCTAGAAGTGCCAAAGTTTTGCTCATCTTGCCGATCCGGAAATTACCACTCCGTGTTATTGAGAGTCAAAGTTTGAATCAGTTATCTCCAACTAAAAAACGACAGTGGTTCTGTTCACTCATCCCTAAGTCAGGAAGTACTCAGATGAGGAAGGATGCTCTCGTTTAAAATCTAGAAACAATCTTTTCACTTGAGTAAGACTGAGCTTCTATTCGTAGTTTGATTGGTGATATCAGACTTGAAATTTTGCTTCCACCTGTTGCTTCTATGAAGTCGATAACGACGTGATATTCGCCTGTTCTAGCATGTTCGCTTGAATGACACTGGTTTCCAAAATGAATGCATTGTTTGTCGATTCAGACAGGGAATCTTAAAGTTCATATAGATTTTAGCGCACTCCAAACATTTCATTGCGTGACAGAGTGTACAAAAAACATTGCTGAGGAGGCGATTAACACTTGTGTTACTAATAGGGGCTTGAAGATTTCGTCAACCACCAAGGGAACAACAGAACGCGAGAAAGGTAAGAAATATGGGCTTCTGTCACTGGTCAAATCGATTTTCAAACAACACGTCGCTTTTACCCGGAGAAAATTAGGGGTGGATGAAGTCTGCTGTGGCAGTACTTGAAAGTGACAAATAATGATTGCGATGGAAGCAATCAAAGCCACTCGAGGCGTTTACTTTCAAGCAAAAACCATTGAAACTGGTCACAAGACATCAGGAAGTGTTGTATTAGAGCGGATGTTAATTAGTTGTATTAAATGACGTAATACACCACTCAAAAGGTCACTGAAAATTCTTTCACAGCAACCCAATGAGTAGTATATTACGCCTATACGTGTATCGCGATATCTCGAATATCGTACCAACTGAAACATGAGGCGCCCTGGCGCAGCACATTCAGTTGCTTAAAGGCAACACAAACGAGAGATTCAGTTGGGTTCCAGACGAGTCACGCGTAAAACTAAATTCGTTTACGAAGGAGTGCATTTCGCTGCATTAGATGATCTTCGCTCTCGCAAACACACAGCCTTTTATACCTCTGTCTCGTATGTCATACGGCATTTCTTGTTCTTTCATGACGGGAAACCCTATATGAGATTTGTACTGGTCACGTGACAAATCATTAAAAGCATCAGTTCACCTAGCTTTCACCCTGTGGGAATCTATCGACAAATGAACTGCTTAAGATAGTAGTGGTGGGTGGACCAGTTTATTCCTTGAAGAAAACGACTCCATATTTGCTAGAAAACCTGTGGTCAAGGTTGCCTCAATGATAGGTTGCAATGGTGCCTCGTTAATTCGTGTGTCGACCAGAAGTTATTCGACATCCACCGTCCACCCAGCTAGGCTTCGGTGCTTTACACCTTCACATCTTCTACGCCTGCAGAATGATGACAAGTCGTAGCCCTTATTAGCGAAACACACTCATTCGCAAACTAATTTAATTTTGCGACAGACTCACCTGGATTCCAGCTGAATCTCTCGTTTTCCCTTGAATACCAGATTGATTTGTAAATGAGTGTATTTGTCGAAATCAGTTCAACTTGGTTTCAAGTAGAACAAAAGGCTGACGGAAATTCGTGGATTGTGCCTTCCTAATGAGCCCCGAGAAAGGCGATATTGGTCGTTGACTGTCAGAGGATTTTCAGCAACCTTATGAGTAGCACATTACGTCCGTGGCAATGATCTCGCCACTGATTGTCTATGAAGTTGATTGCGGGTGTGATGCCACCTACATAGCTTGCGCTGCGCCACACGTGCTAAAGTGGACCTGATAACACTCCCAAAGTGGATAGTCCTGGGGAGGAGCAGAGGTCCACCTAGTCGACAAGACACACGTCGACAATCGGCACTTCAGAGCGGGTCGGTCCG